ATAAAAGGCCAAGTGCTTACGTCAGGGAAACCGTCGCAGATCCTTGAGTTACTTCATAACTTGAACTCTGACAAACGATGTGATGACGCCGTAATAAAAACTGTGTTCTTTGAATACTTATCACCGCACATTAGAAGCATTCTTGCGACTACCGAAAGCACGGATCTGGACAAGTTAGCCAAAATGGCGGAGAAAATAGTTGAGACCGTGGGTGATTCTGCGCAGTGTGCCTCCGCATCATTGTCAGAGTCTAAGCCATCCGATTTAGAAGCTAGGATCGACGGTCTGGCCGCTGATATTGCCACCCTCTCTGCTGAGGTCAAGCGATACAGCAGATCTCAGACGAGAGACAAGGCAAATAAAAATCGTAAGCGTTTCAAAAGCAAAAGCTCTTGTGTCTGCTGGCCGCATCGTACTTTCGGGGAACAAGCGCGAGTCTGTAATGGAACTGAAAAATTCCCGTGCCCTTGGCCAAAGCCCAAGGACGGAAAGGCGGGGGAATAGAATCGTCTGCCACCGAAGAGACAGGTATAGCGGGCGTCGATTCTTCTGTCCGTCTCCACATCTGCGATCGAGTCACCGGAGAGCTATTTCCTTATAGATACGAGGGCGAAAATTTCGCTGCTTTCCAGTACTTACGCGAAGAACAAAACTCCGACCAATTTCAAACTTTACGCGGCAAACAATACTCGTATAGACACGTATGGGGAGTCGTTCCGAACGCTACATTTAGGGATACGCCCGATCACATGGAATTTCTGCGTAGCATCAGTTCCGTACCCGATAATTGGGGCCGATCTGATTGCACATTATACGGTCTCCTTCCGGACCTTAAAGGTCGTAGATTCATCGATTCACAAAATAATGTGTACGTGTCGGGCATTGTCAAATCGGTACCATAGCTTGCCATTAGCACGGTCAAACCCAGTTTGAACGAAATTCGCGATCATCTTATCTGAATTTCCAGAGGTCACCGGTTTAGAACAGGCAACTCCGAATTGCAGTAGCGATGTTCGTCATCATATCATTACCACGGGCCCGCCAGTAGCCGAGCGTCCCAGGCAGTTAAGTCCGGTAAAATTAAAAGTGGCAAAGGCTGAATTTCAACGGCTAGTCAAAGCCGGTATTTGCCGTTCATCCAGTAGTCCATGGGCAAGTCCCATTCATATGGTACCGAAAAAAGACGGATCATGGAGGATCTGCAGCGATTATCGTCGTCTTAACGCAATTGCCGTGCCGGATAAATTTCCCGTACCGCATTTGCACGATTGCTTCTCCAACCTGCGTGGGAAAGTCATTTTCTCTAAGCTAGATCAGGCATAGAATCAAATTCCAGTGGCGCCGGAAGATATTCCGAAAATGGCTGTCGTTACGCCCTTCAGGCTGTTCGAATATAAATTCATGACATACGGTCTTAGAAACGCGAGTCAACATTTCAGCATCAAATCTTTCGCGCTCTAGGCGACCTGGAATTTGTGTTTGCATTCATCGACGACATACTCATAGTGTCGACGTCTCTTGAAGAGCATGAAGCTCACTTACGCATAGTGTTACAGCGATTAAAAAAGTTTTATTTACGACTCAATGTAGATAAATGCGAGTTCGGCAAGCAAGAATTAGAATTCCTCGGCTTTACGATTAACAGCGAAGGGTGTAAACCAACACTCGATAAGATTCAGGCTATTCGCGAGATTCCAATACTATAATCGTTTTCTTGGGCTTGTCAACTTTTATCGTAAATTACTGCATAATGCAGCTATCGTTCAGGCACCATTAAATAAGTACCTTCGCGATTCACGCAAAAACAACAAACGGCCAATCATATGGACACCGGTGGCTGAAGAAGCGTTTAATAAGTGCAAGGAGAGTCTGGCCAACGCGACTATACTCTCTCACCCCTCCGACGCAGCCGAGACGCGCCTCGTTTGTGACGCGTCAGATTTCGCCATCGGGGCCGCCCTCGAACAACGTTTAGACGACTCGTGAAAACCGCTCGCATTCTTTTAGCGCAAATTAAATTCGACGCAACAGAACTACAGCGAGTACGATCGGGAGCTTACGGCGGGCGCCGAGGCAATCAAATATTTTCGTTATTTCCTCGAAGGGCGAAATTCCAAGATGATGACCGATTACAAGCCTCTCATCTACGCGTTCATGCAATGTTCCGAAAAGGCATCACCTCGGCAACAGCGACAACTTTCGTTCATCTCGCAGTTCACCACGCGTATCGAATACCTATCGGGCAATGATAATATTGTGGCGGATTCCCTTCCCCGCATCGAAGCCATTCGTTTACCTGCCGAGATCGAACTTAATGAGCTTGCACAGCAACAAGATCAAGACGAGGAGCTACGGTCCATTCGCGAATCTCCTGAATTTCCCTTTTCTATGAAGCGAATTCAATGGAGGCCGACGCATACACTTTACTGCGAAATGACCGGCGAGGCAATCCGCTCCTATATACCGGCATCTTTACGAGATCGCGTTTTTCACTTGTTCCATGACGCGGCTCATCCGGGCCCTAAAGTCACTGATCGGGTAATCCGTCAACGGTATGTGTGGCCTAACATGCATCGCGATATTGCAAAGTGGTACAAGAATTGTCTTGACTGTCAGCAGTCAAAAATAACCCGACACGTTCAATTACATCCTGAAAAATTTGTCGCATCCGACGGGCGTTTCGAGCATGTTCACATGGATCTAATAGGTCCCTTGCCTGAGAGTACAGATCGGACGAGTACAGATATTGTGTGACGATGATTGATAGATTTTTATGTTGGCCAGTAGCAATACCTCTGAAAGACATTGAAGCCATTACAATGGCACGCGCGTTTTACGACAACTGGGTAGCAAATTTTGGAGCACCCAAAACGATAACTACTGATCAAGCCAGTTTGAAGCGCAACTTTTTACTGCGCTTCTTCAACTGATTGGCTGTCAACGAATTCGTACCACGGCGTATCACCCCGCTTCGAACGGTATGATCGAGCGGTGGCATAGAAGCTTAAAAGCTGCTATTATGTGTCATGTTAATGAAGGTTGGTCACGAGTACTTTCGACCGTATTATTAGGTCGGCGTACTCATGTCCGCCTTGACACCGGCGCATCACCTGCGGAATTTGTTTATGGAACGACGCTGCGCGTCCCCGGAGAATTTGTACTGCCGGACGATTTCACTACTAGTCCGCAAATTTTCATTGAGGAATTCCGCGAGCATATGTGCAAAGTTAAGCCAATCTCGATAGAGCATAAGCACAAGAAACGCGCATTCGTATTTAAAGATTTATATTCATGTTCCCATGTTTTTCTACGGGTGAGCGGTACCAAGAGAGCGTTAAAGCGTCCCTACATCGGCCCTCAGGTTATAAATCGTGTTTCGGATCGAGTTTTCGACATTGAAGTTAATGGTGCACAGCGCAGTGTATCAGTCAAGAATTTGCCAGCGTACGCGATGACTTGTGTAGTGCGATTCCAGAAGCAGGGCAAGCAGCCAATTCGTTCAGCAACGAGCGACCAACTTTGAGAACGTATGCGCGCCCGAAGAGGAGGGTAACTTTCGCCATATAATTTTAATAAATCTTCCCAACGACAAAATGTAATTAATTTTAGTCAGACACTTATAAGATTTTTGTATGATACATTGTATATGTTTTATATGGTAGACCTAAGTGCCGGCATTATAAATGACCTAACACTAAAGTAATATTATGTTAACTTAGTATTAAGCATAAGGTTCAGATTCGTTGTCACTCGGGGGGGAGTATGTGGGGGATTCTTAATACCTCACTAGCGCAGCGAGTGTAGAAAGCTTAAGGATTTTGTAGGTAGCCTAGCAGTAAAAATAATAAAAGAAAAATTATAACAACAGATC